AAAAAAAAAAAAAAAAAAAAAAAAAAGTTTTATTGCTGATTCTCAGCATTAGTTAGCGCGTACAGAAGCAATTGCCCATTTCACTCTTTCAGTAGTAGTAGGGGAAGGCAGCGACCGAAACTACCCTCTTCACCCGAATAACCCCCCCGGCCATTATCGCTGCATCTGGTCCGACAGGTGCCCCAAATTCAGCTATAATGACCGGGCGTCCTATTCGGGTGAAGAAGGTAGTAGGGGAGGAAGGCGGGCAGCGACCGAAAAAGACTAGTAGCCGAAGGACAGGCGCTTCGCTCTTGGGCCTTTTCACTCTTTCGGACAGTATGCTCTTATCACATCCCCTAGTAAACTGGTTCAGGTAATTCTTTAAAAAAAAAAAAAAAAAAGTTCAGGTAATTCTTAAAAAAAAAGAAAAAAAAAGTTCAGGTCATTCTTAAAAAAAAAAAAAAAAAACTCTTTCGGACAGTAAGTATGATGGGGGAGGCGACGCCATAGCTTTCTATGGCTGCTTTGCGTTCAGCGATGTATTCTTCGTGGCAATTCGAGATTTTTTGACGTATTATTTTTTTTATGGCCTTCTATTTGCGGTTATGTGTGCTGTGTGCTGTGCATTTCGGGCGGACTGTGATCTGACTCTGGCTTTATGACATTCTTCTTCTTCCGTATGTTACTGTTTCCCCCTGTTTCCCCGAATTTGTAAATGGGAATGAATCTTCCCGACAGCTAGGGAAGATCCATTCCCATTTAAATTTGCAGATTCGAACCGCGTGGCCTTTTCTTTTAAGTCCGCTGGTCATTCTGGCCTGGGGGGCCCGGGGGCGGGGGCGGGGGCGCCAGGCGCCAGGCGCTCCATGCAAGCAAGGCTAAGGACGACGAGAAGGGAGGGAGAGTGGACAACAGCGAATGGGCACGTAAAATTTAACGAATTACTACGTGAATTCCAGCCAAGTACTGAAGGAAGGCGCATAGCGCCGTAGTAACCATGAAGAGCGTGTGGCGGTGTAGTACCCTACCGGTTTCGACTGGCTCGGCACTGCCAGCCATCGTCAGGGGTTAGCGCACGGCTGAGCACAATTATATGGGTTATGGGAGATTTTCTGCACAAAGAGGCCGTGTTTTTGTTTTTTTTGCTTTTGTTTTTGTTTTTTTGGTTGGTTCAAGTCCGCTTGTGTGTGCTGTCCATGCGGACAGTGTGCTATGTCTGTGATTCTCTCTCTCTCTCTCTCTCTCTCTCTCTCTCTCTCTCTCTCTCTCTCTCTCTCTCTCGGGAGTCTGATATGCGCCGCACTGCAGCTGCTGCAGCGATTGTAGAGACGACCACTTCCCCCAACACAACGCGCGCGGATTGTGAATGTATACAAGATACGTTTCCGGTCCCGTACAGTCAAAATGAGGGTGCGTAATGTGTAATTACATTCTCAGACTGGAGCTACCATCTTCCCCCGAACACAACGCACCCTCATTATGGCTGTACCGAACCCGAAAGATAGCTTGTATACAGTCGTTCTCAGGGACTTTCTGAACCTACCAGGGGACCTGAACACAGTGCACCCTCATTATGGCTGTATCAAACCCGAAAGATAGCTTGTATACATTCATCATCAGGGACTTTCTGAACATACGCTCTCACCCTCGATCACAAAGATCGAAGGTCAAAAACTCTCAATCCACGTGAGTGGGACCTCGCCTCTGTTCTGTTGGTCATCCTCAGGCTGCCTCTTTAAGTTAAGAGCACTCATTGTGAGGATAAATTATCCCTATTCTGCTCCAAAGAGAAGCAAAGAAAAATAAAAAAAGGAGGCCGTTCCCTGTTCCCCCTACTTGCTCATCATAATTAATTAATATATAATATATATTAATTGTTGGCTTTTTTCGTGCTTGTCTTTACTTTTTCCCTTCCTCCGTGTGTGTCTGTTTGTGTGTGTTTGTGTCTGTTTGTGTGTGTGTGTGTGTGTTTGTGTGTGTGTGTGTTTGTGTGTGTGTGTGTGTGTGTGTGTGTGTGTGTGTGTGTGTGTGTGTGTGAATGTGGACTGCTTTCTCTGCCTGCAGACATTGTAAGGGTCCGACGAACTTCAGCATCTTTTCGTGTGTGCTAAATATAGCTGCAGCAGCATCAGCGACACTCAGTCTGGCAACAGTCTCCCCCCCCTGACCTGAAACCACAGGCGGATACGTCCGTTTATTTCCCCGATACGATGAACGGTGGACACCTGTACTGCTCATCGACTTTTGCCTCAGTTCGTGGTGTAACGCTGAGTCGCTGACGCCGGGCGGTGACCAATTCATTGGCGTACTTGAGCTTGACCTTGACCTTGACCTTATCACATCAGATTCTCTCTGTTGAGATCTAGATTATCCAATCCTCGGTTAACAGCGGGTTAACAGCGGGTTAACAGCGGGTTAACAGCGGGTTAACAGCGGGTTAACAGCGGGTTAACTGCAGGTTAACTGCAGGTTAACTGCGGGTTAACTACAGGTTAACTGCAGGTTGAACGCCTACACGGAGTTGGGGTCCGAAACGCTGACCGGAGTTCGAATTTCGATGAATCAGATTCAGAAGCGGGAGCAGCTAACTTGAGTCTTGAGTCTTGAGTCTTGAGTCATGAGTCTTGAATCTTGAGTCTTGAGTCTTGAGTCTTGATTTTGAGTTAGAGCACCTGACTTGGAGTGTGACCAGCAGAAGGGGGAAGTATTATTAATAATTTATTATACCTTTATATACCGTCAGACGACGTACGCGACCGTGTTCAAACTTCGAAGTAACACACACAGAGTACACCGGTAGGGGCCTGAGGGAGGAGGGAAGAGGAGGGAGGGAGGAAAGAGGAGGGAGGAGAGAGGAGGGAGGAGAGAGGAGGGAGGAAAGAGGAGGGAAGAGGAGGGAAGAGGAGGGAGGGAAGAGGTAGGAAGGAGGGTGGAGATGGACGCTTTGCAGACGGTGACAGCTAGCAACGCGAAGTCTCCCATAGCCCGCACATCAGTGATAGCCGCCGTCATTGCCTTGATGCTGGTGGTAATGGCCGCCTCGGAGTTCCTGATTGCAGAGGCAAAAGGTCATAATAGACTTGGTAGGGGAAAAGCGGCTTCAGGAGGAAAGCGACTTCAGGAGGAAGTCGATGAAGAAGAAGATGGGCCAGATGACATCCAGCCCCCCCCCGGCGACGTCGTTGGGAAATCGTGCAAAAGGACCCCTAATTGCGGCTCCTTCCGTTATTTCGCCTGTTGCCACCGAGTTTGTGTCGACATTGTGTCCGATCCGAAGAATTGCGCAAGCTGCGGGAGAACTTGCCGCACAGGGCTGAGCTGTTGTGATGGGTTCTGTGTGAACACAAAGACCAATCCGAGACACTGCGGGGAGTGCTACCGGAGATGTCAGCCTCCGTTTTCGTGCATCAACGGCCTCTGTGGCTACTGAGGACGGTCGGGACGGTGAAGGCAAGCGACGAAGACGATAGTAAGATCCCGATTTCATTTCAATTGTGGTGGTCGATGGGAGGCAGTTCTGCGTGAACACACAAAGACAAGCGACGTTCAGCCCCCGTTCAGCCCCCGTGCGGGGGGAGGCAGTTCTATCTGTGTTCACACAGTAAGATCCCTGAGAAGGCAAGCGACGAAGACGATAGTAAGATCCCGATTTCATTTCAATTGTGGTGAACACACAAAGACAAATCTCAGCCTTCTCAGGGAGTGGTGGCGCTTCTGTGTGCCACCACAGAGACGTTCAGCCCCCGTTCGCAGGCATTAATGATCGATGGCCTCTGTCCCTCTGTGGCTACTAGTAGTAGTTTTTTTTTTGTTTTTTTTTTAAGTGGCTACTAATAGTATTGGCTACTGATAGCAGAGAAAAAAAATATATACGCAAACTTGATAGTTACAACTTATAATATTTCCGAAAATAAAGGGGAGGAGTTACTGAGTTACACGTCGCGCTTGGGAGATAATTTTTTTGGAGTTTGCGCCCTAGACCACAGAAGGAGGAGGATCAGCCCAATCATCAGTGATTCAGTGAATCCATGGCCTAGCTCAGTTGGTACTCGTACTTGGTAGCCATTGGTTGCTACACCAATGCACAGTGGCAATAGAGACTGAAGCTAGGCTATGGAAACCAAATGGACTGATTGAAAATGATTCTAAAAAACGGGTCCAAAAAAGCAAAAAAAGAAAAAACAAGATGGATGAGCATGCCATCATCAATTGGCGCGCAGTCTATGGAACGGAATGGGCTGCCCCCCCCCCAAAAAGGGGCTGACTGGAATTTTGCGAGTTGCTGATTGAGCCTGAGTCTATGCAATTACAGTTCGATTGCTTCGCTCTGGTCGTTACTCGGCTACTAGGAAGCCTAAGGAAGGTACGGACTTGAAGATGGAAGGTTACGAAGGTACCAAGGTGAGAGGGGAGAGGGTAGGTACTAGGTAGGTAAGTTGCCAGTTGGGACTCGGGAGCATGGAGGCTGGAGGATAACGTACGCCAGGGAAAGAGTCGGTTCTACGTTCTAAGTTCTCAGTTCGGTGCATGGGAAGGAAGGAGAGGTGGACTCTGGTGGGCACTGGGTTGCAGTGGGCTGCACTGGGTAAGGTAAGGAAAGGGCGCAAGCTTTCTGGGCAACATTTTTTTCCGAGAGGGAGAGGAGAGGGAGAGGGAGAGGGAGAGGGAGAGGGAAGGGATGCTGGATAGGTCAGCCAGGGACGAAGGGAAAGGAAGTAAGCCACGCTTCTTGGTAGGAAGGTAGAACGGCAGTGGGCACAACTGCCGCACATGTGAGGGAAGGAGTTTGTGATGATGTCTGTGTGCGTGCAACACCGTACATGTGTGTGTGTGTGTGTGTGTGTGTGTGTGTGTGTGTGTGTGAGAGAGAGAGAGAGAGAGAGAGAGAGAGAGAGAGAGAGAGAGAGAGAGAGANGTGTGTGTGTGAGAGAGAGAGAGAGAGAGAGAGAGAGAGAGAGAGAGAGAGAGAGAGAGAGAGAGAAGCAAATGCTTACAAAGACAGGGTGATAAAATAGAGAGAGACAGACAACCAGAGAAATGTAGGGATAGTCAGACAGGCAAACCTTGTTCTCCTGCTTTATAAATAATAATAATGGTAAGAAATCAATAATAATAGTAATAATAATAAAGAGGTTTAGCTTCAGCCTCCAGGCTTTTTCTGCTGCCCGGTGAAGTCCCCTTTTTGTTGCTGGAGGCCTAAGTTTTACTGCGGAGTGGGGACCGGTGGCACCTTGGCAGTCATTTATATGAAAAAAAAAACATTAAAAAGTCGTTTATCCGCCGGACGGAATCCTGGAGTTCAAGCACACTGTTTCGATTTTCCTGTGTCGAGTTCCATTACTCTGCCCTTGGCATTTTCCCCAGGCTACGGTCTTCCCCCCAAGGGCCCCAACACAGCGCACCCTCATTTTGACTGTATAGGGTCCGAAACATGGTTTCTGTACGTTCATTTGCAGGGTGCATTCTGTTCGCCGTAATAAAGTTCTTTGTCTTCAGAATTTATTGTTTTCTATCTCCACGTCTGTTCCCTTCCACTTTCAGTGGATTTTTGTTTTCCCTTTTTTTTTTTATGATTGAAATGTCGGGTATTGAGTTGTTACTACTTGTTAGGACCTGTTACAATAACTGCCAACCTAGCAGCCTTAGCTCAGTTGGTTAGGCACGCAAGTTTTTCTTTTCTTTTTTTTGTGTGCCTTTCTTTTTTTTTCTTTTTTTTTTTTTCGTTTTTTTTTTTTTAAAAAGGACGTGTCTTTGATTCATTAAGCCGGGAAACGGGCCCGGCGTCCCTTACAAAAAACAGTAGCAGGCCGCACGCAAGTTGCATTCACTGACAGGAGGTTGTGGGTTCGAGCCCCATGAGCCGCCGCAGCGCACTTAGTAGCAAGTTGAACCAAAGAAAACAAACTGCGGTAGTCGGCTTGATACCCCTAATGGGTACTACTAGGTACTACTAGTAGGGTGTATTTAACTGTATTAAGACCTAAAGGGGTTAAATTTTGGTTATATCTTATATAATTTTGTTTGATGGTAGACTTGCAATTTTGATGAATAGAAATGACTTCAAAGTGCAAATATCAGTGATCACCACTGGAAACTTGAAAGGTCGGCCCAAGGAAAATTTGATTATTAGATAATTAACTTCTAAATGAGATGGTTTTTTTTTTTTTTTTTTTTTTTTAATTCGGTTGTATCTTATATCATTTGGTTTGATGGTTGACTTGCAATTTTGATGAATAGAAATAAGATCACTGCAGTGACTGGGAGCTCGGCCGGAATCCAGACTCCCACCGCGCTCTTTCGAGCCACATTTCTTCGTAGAGGCTCGCGCGAGCAGAAAGGTGTGGCAAGAGTGGCTGGAGACACTCGAAGAGACTAGCCAGAGTCGTAACTGTGTATGATATCGGGCTTAACTGTGTATGATATCGGGCGACTCCAAGCATCTGGGTTGTGTAAGTGTGCGGCTGTGAGCGCGAGTGGGTTGTATGAGCCTGTGAGGTGTGTGGGAGAGTGCTGGCCATAGCCACTGCTGCTACTTGATGGGGGGTGGGAAAAGTAGTAGATGGGAGGTGCAGCTACTGGTAAAATGCTCGGTCTTTGCGTTAGCTGCCTTTTCCCCGGACGCGCACTGGTGGGCCGGTAGGCCCACGCTACTCCTCGCCCACCACCGAAATTCAATCACGGATTAGGGCGGGGCTATGTGTCCCCCTAGGCCACGGCCGAGGAGGCCGGCCGCGGGCCCGCGGCCTAGGCCGCGTGGCCGAGTATTTTTGCGGCCGCGCCAGGCTCAGCCAAGGGCGCGCGCGGGAAATCGGCGCACGGCCTCGGCCTGTGCACGTCCTCCTCTAGAGGACTGCGCATTCAAAAATATTTTTATTTTTATTTGGGGGGGGGGTGATTTTTTATGAGTGCAAAAATTAATTAAAAAAATAGAAAAGAAAATATTCGTTGATTGATTGATTGATTGATTGATGATTGATTGATTGATTGATTGATTGATTGATTGATGGATTGATTTTTTTTTTTTGATTGATTGATTGATTGGTTGGTTGGTTGGGGGAGGGTCGCCCATCTCCCCCCCGCCGCCACACACACACACCTCTCTCTCTCTCTCTCTCTCTCTCTCTCTCTCTCTCTCTCTCTCTCTCTCT